CGCAACTACGAATACGACGCCTCCTTGGCTGTGGTTGACGCTTGAATCCTTTTTAATGAACTATACTTAAGTTTTATACTGGTATACAACGCAGATCGTCAGTGCATTTTATTTTTCTTGTTGTCGCAACGACATGCGTCGCACTACAATCTGCAAAGCGATGATTTCAAGTAGGTACCGCAGCAACTCTGCGCATTACATAACTTCTTCCTCCATTAAATGCGCCGTTCGGTCGACTGTCACAATCTAATTTATAAGGCTGAAAAGCGGCAACAGTGTTCTTTCAGCAATCAGTGTAATTCTTAAGGCCCATACAACAAAACCCGCTGAGTCACGGTCCACGTTCTACAGCACATCAGATTTTAGCCGCCTGATTTCCATTTACGGTACAGCATTACCCCATTTCAGCTTAAACCTAACTTTCCCACTGCCATATAGATAGAAGATTTGACAAGCGTGAGAGGCCGGTCACTGTATCACTGAGAAGAATCAAATCATCGGCATACTGCGGAAATCTCGAGAAATCTCGCTGGATACTTCGAGCTGCGCTTTGGGCAGAAGTGAAGCCGTTTTTTAATTCAACTGAATCTAAAACAGCTATATATGGCTAAGCTATGCAAAGCCTTTCAGTATAATTTGGTGAGAAGTTCACTCTCTTTCGGACACGATTATCAAACAGCCACCGTGAATGGAACGAAGGTATTTCTATAAGGTTTTGTAAGAACAAATCGCATCATAATCAGCCTTTTTCGATCCTTTACTGGATGAAGGCCTCCACACAAATTTGCCATGTATTTCTGTTTTCTCATTACTCTTCGATTCTTATTCATCTTGATTAAAAAATTTTTTTTTATCTCATTCAGTGACCGATTTTGAATCATCTTACAGGCCGCTTACTGCCGTTTACTCTCTTTTAGAATCCAGTCTACTGTCTCTCAAGTTCTGCGATGGTCGGTTCTTCTTGCAATGTATCATGTACATTGACACTTTAACTTCTTCCCTTGAGCAATGACATTGCAAATTACTGTTTGTGCTTGTACCCATTCATTTGTCCTCCTATCCTTTCTTGTTATTCCCAACATTCACATTTTCATGCTGCACTGCGACGTATTAGCTTTCAAGGTTCCGGTTCAGGTATCGCGTGTGCATTCATAGGCTAGCACAGGGAGCACGCACTGATAGAGAATACTTTGCTTTACAAGTGTAAGGGCAGTTTTAACATTAGAATATTTTCAATGTTTCAGAAGTACTCCATACCACTTTTACTCTTCTGCTAATTTCGAAAAGTCGCCCCTCAATTGCCGGAATCCGTTGTCCCATCTACTCATACCTTTGTACCTGTTCAAGTGTAGGTACACCGAGTTTGGCACGTAGTGGGGCGTGATGCATCTGTTAAACATGACTTCAATCTTCTTCTGGTTTATTTTCAGTCCTGTTTTGATGCTAGCGTTAGACAGGTCTTCGATTCTTCTTGGCAGAGTATCTGGTGACCCAATATGCGTGCATATTTAGATTGCGTGCTAGTTCGTAGCAACAGCCATCCGGACAACGGGGTATTCAACAGGTGATTGGTATCGTCCAAAAACTTTGTGAATGATCACTGAACCCATGAACGTGGTTTGCCTATGAATCGAGGTGAATCTTGCACACCGCGAGAGGCATAATTCAGCGTCTGATGCATCAGCCTAAGTCAGCGTCGGCATCGTTGATGCTTACAACGATGATCAGACCTGCATAAATGACTATGCACAGCATTCGTGTGCCTACAAATTAACGTACGTCGCATTGAACGCATAAGCATTTACCGAACGACGCGCAGAAAAATTCCGCTATCCTGATTTTCTTCAATACTGCCACTAAAACTAATGGGAGCAGATGGTTCAAAGCTCAAAGAAAACACTACGCTTAAGCATTTGAGATCGTCCATTGACGGCAATACTCTCCACTTACGTAGGATCTTGTAATGTAGTCGGCGACGTGTCATGTGGGCAGCGTCTCGCACCAGCTTACGGAAGGTTTTGAGTGCCTAACGACGGGGCGAAGGTCAGGCGATCAATGCTCGATGAATGAACCGCGCCTTTAACACTTTCACATTCCACACCCACGTCTTTAGTACACACACGCACGCACACATACACACACAACACACAAACACACATTAAACCGCACTGAAAAACGACACAGCGATTAATAATTTCAAGGTTGTTACAGTAAAACGAAAACGATTTGTTACTCAATCAGAGACAGGGCATATTTTGGATACCGCAC